CATTAAAGCTATTGTTCAGCAGAAACGAATATCAGAGCAACCACCTCAACTCTGGCACCACTACCAATCCTGGCCCAAGATGCTGTTTAGAAAACCACCACTGCCAGGCCAGATAGAGGCTTGGATTATGTTCTGTCAGGAGGAAAATAAATGCCAGGGAAACACTAATTAGTGCAGAGTAGCTTTAGAGCTTCAACAGGTCCATCCAAAGTTAGCCAAGACTAAGAAGGACCTTGAAATGGCTACAGAAATAATTCATAAGACAACATTGAGGTTTGATTGTTATTAAGCACAAAGCAATAAAACAATCTATCTGCCCACTGTACATATTTAAACCCAATGTTTAGCAGTATAAGCCCTCAGATTTAGCACTGAGTAAGAAGTCTACAGCTACCCTGGAAATCCTGTTGTCATTTCTGTAAAATCATGCCCTAGATGAGTCTTTTTCATTTATTTTACTACAGAATTTCATTTTATAAAACAAAGATTTTTACTTTAACTAGCCATATTGCTATAACTCTTAGTTGTAAGACTAAAGTATTTTACACACACACACATACATATATTTATACTTAAAGGAGTTTGCAAGTTGTAAAATGAAGATGTCTTACCTTAATTAGCCATATTGCCTTAAAGGTTTATGTTTGATTTTGTATAAATTAAGTATTTCATATTCTAAAATTATTATATTTTGTGTTGCAGTTAATTACCTTGGAATCTTTTTTTTTTAAAGACTCTTATTGTGTAGATGTTTGTGAAAGAGTAAAATAAATTGTAAACTGATTTTTTTTTACTTTTTGTATTGTTATTATGGTTCATTGTTAAAGGTTGTGCATGCCTTCTCATCTACACATAAGTGTTGTGAAGTATGTTTGTCAGGAGTATGCAGGTTAGCCTTTGGTAGAGCTTTAGATTTCAGATGGGGAGCCAAGTCAAATCTGTATGATACAACAAAATATTTTCTGCACTTCAAGCTCAAGATGCATTATAAGGGTGACAGTCTATCACTTAGCATAAATGTTGGGTGAAAGGGTGCTGCTGTCCATCTAGTTAGTAATTTAAAATAAGGAATGGCAGCAGTTTACTGTAATAGCTTTGACATGAATACAGATGCAATTAGTCAGGCACAAAAGATACTACAGATGCCCAGCTGATTCAAGTTCTGTTAATTTTTTTTATTTCATTGGTTCTAAAATTTTATTAAGGGTGGCCTCAATGTAAAGAAAATAATAAATGTGGTACCTGAAACACACCAGATATTTCTTTCTTTTTTAGTTTAGAAAGATAAAAATTTTATGTTTACTAAGCTTGTCACACTTACAAGCATTTGTCTTACATATTGAGTTTAACATTCAGATCCAACTTTGAGCTTGTCACACATTATCAAAGGTTATTTCCCTTCTGGTGTTTCTGAACTTTTTCATGGAAATTGTCAATTCAAAATTCCTTAGACTTACACTAACATACAATCTAGTGTCATCAGTTGTACAAAGATTTAGCAATACTTAGAGAGTATATCCTCCATATTTTTAGCCTCTGCATTGTGGCTCCGAGTTTTTCAAGCACAATGCACTCACAGAAAGATTTCCCTATCATAAGAAAGATATAAATTCTGGTTAAGAAGTTAGCACAGAGGAACACATACAAAAGTTGTAATGGTTTTCTTTATTCTCCAAAAAAAGAAAGTGAACTATTCGAAAGCACTCGAGTTTTGGGTCTCGTTTGAAAACCATAAAAAAAAGATATAGTCAATGAGTCCCTCAGTGCAGTCATACTTTAGCAATCTTAGATCTCTTCCTACTATCCATGAGGTGATCAACCACTCAGTACACACATACATACTGAATTGCATTTGCTTGTGCATAATAAAGCACTGATTTCAATTTGTGTCTAATCTCATTCTTAGTTTCAGTGAAGTAGGCACTTCAGTTTTGATTTCATAAGTATATTCTGACAATTTTCTAGTTCGAATAGTTACTACTCTATTCCACATGAAAACAATGCAACTGAGATTACCAAAATCTGTGGTGCCTGTTTACAAGAGCAGTTCTGGTTTGTTCCTGTTGGTGGTTCTAATTATTACTTCCTTTACAACATCTACATTAATGGCTTAGTATTCTTTCTACATGGTATTCATGTCCTTTCTCCACCCTGTTACTTTGTTATTGAATATCAACAAAAAGTTGACTAAATTGAAGGAAAAAAAAACAGAATTTAAATGGTACATTTTGCTATCCTATTTCCTCTTGTCACTAGATGATTTCATTTAGCTTTCCAATCCAAAGACAAAGCCCTGTTGCTTGTAGTAACTTATCTGGCCACATGGTGTCCATCTTACACAGTTTCCTTTAGTTTTAGTCTCCGCTCTTGTGCTTACAAGTGTTTAGTTTTTCAAGCACAAATGATGGTCTGTTGTTCTCTTCTTCCTTTCTGTTATTTTGATCTGCACTATATGATCTTCTAGGTGCCCTTTTCCACACCATAGCTCTCTCTCTCTTAACCTTACCTCCCACATCTTTTTACAGTACTGGTGAAGTGTGATAGCATGGACATTTAAAGAAAGTGCTGTCAGTCACTCATTACCTACTACATTGCTAATTTTTCTCCATGACTTAAGCAATCACGTTGCCTTGAATACTTACCAACTAACAACTCTCCTTCCATTTTCCAACAGAAGCACTATTTAATTAATACCACCAAATCTAAGAGTTTTTCTTTAATCCTTCATTATGTTAAAAAATTCCTTCTGTGCATTTTTACCTCATTGCTTTTAAGTCCCCTTTCTTGTAATTTGGTCATCACCTAGATTTAACTATGTGACAGTTCATGGACACTATGCATTATGGTATTTTGCTTGGAATGGCTTATCCATGTGAGCCACATGCACACACGTTATATATTTTACTGGGATGTCACCTGCTATACTAACTCTGTCTAAGACTTATTCCTTAACTTTTAGCAATGGTTCAACTTGTGTCACCACCTCTGGTGCAAAATATGTATAGGTGTGTGTATCTAGAGTGTAGCCATCTACTAATGCCATTAGTCTTCATTTGATATATTCTGATTTGAGACTGTTGCACTTACACAATCAGACAGCAGTACAGTTCAGACAGAGAGCCATTCAGTTGATTTGTGCATCCAAAGATGGCACTTTTTCCTTTATGACACTTAGGGCTTCTCCCCCACATTGTCTATTATGAGGAATCATGATTCAGTTAGGACTACAGGTCTTTTGTCACATGTTTTATTACAGTTTTAGCACTAATATTAGTAGTTATATAGACTAAATTGGTTCATAACAAAGTAAAAACTAATCTGAAGAATTTGGGTATAACTACTCATAAATTCACTTACTTTAAAACTTAGAAAAATGTCAAATTAATTTATTTATTTTGAAAACCCATTTAAAGGACCCTCAAAAACAGTGGATTTCTTTAAAAAGAACTGCCTTACAGCATCACTAAATCGAATAGTAATGGGGATCCAAACAACTCGGACAAGTAGAGGTACCATTTGCTAGTGATGAAAAAACAAAAAGGTCAAAGTATATAAACAAGTTTACAGAATCACTGTAATAAAATAAAAAGAACACATACAGTTCTGTTATTTATATATAAAACACAAACGTATTTCCTTTAAAGTATTCACCAGTAGTACAAATTATAAATATCAGGATTTAAAATTAATACAACTTCAAACAAAAGGAAATGCTTAGATTTCATATATGTTTTTTTGTTATAAGAAAACTATTTTAAAATGTTGGATAGGTGTAAAATGAAGCACTTAAAAATGAAAGAAATCTATAAAGTGCATATTTATGTTTGTTACAACAATACATAAATATACATTAAACATGCACTGGACATCTAATACAGAATTAACTCCCTATTGGTTAATAGTAGTTATGTATGAGTGCAAGGTTCGTACAGCAATTTCTCAACTTTATTTTTTTTGCCTTGTAAGAGTTTTGCAGGACTAAAAAAGTTCCAGGATTGTTCATTGCAAATAGAAGTATCTGAAGTTAGTTTTGCTAAAATATTTGAAGTTGCAGGAAGATCACCAGTGGAGGGCTTTTGTAAACCATTAATCAAGGTTCCAGAGGTAGCTCCATGACCTTCAACCAAAAACAAAATCCTTTATGTGATATTTTGCAGCACATTAAGATCATGATGTTTTTTCACCTTTTATATATGGTTAATCAATGCCAATTGATTCCTTTTAACAACAAAAATTTCACATAAACTCTGCAATAGGCTTTGTATTAGTTCTCTATCTGTTCAATCCATGCATACTCTGCTGTGCATAGTCATTGTTTGTTAAAAACACTCTTCACCAAGCATTTTAAAATTCTGTTAATATTCTTCCATTTGAAATATGCCTTACACTTTTCTGTCAATATCTTTAGTGTCAAAAACTTAGTGTATCCAAAAAAATAGCATTAAAATAGAAGGATACATTTATTTGAAATTTTGAAGCAATTTTTCTATTGAAACTTACAAATTCCAAGAACTTCAACCTGGAAGTTTAAAATGATTTCCATAAGCTGTGTGAACCCTGAAAATGAGAGCTATTAACTGGTTTGCTCCTCCTCTGGTCAGCAGCTTTAAATTAGAAATGGTTATACCTGAACCTTAGCATCTTTGACCTGGCTGTTTAGCTCACATGTTGAATAGTGTTATTCATATTAGTTTGGTTTGTTTAACACAAAGCTATGCAATAAGTTACCTGCGCTTTGTCCACTACAGGGAATTGAACCCCAGATTTTAGCATTGTAAATCCATATGCTTATTACTAACCCAGTGGTGGGTATTGTTCAGGTTAGAAATACCACACACCACTTGTACATTTATTTTAGATTTTACTAGAATATTCGATTTTTAATACTTCTCTCAATGAAACATTTTATTACTGAGTTAAAAACACTCACACAGGAGTTTCAAAGTTTGAAGAAAACTTTATTTGAATGTACTTATAAAACACTCATGAATTAGTTTTGGTAAAAAAAATCCAAGTTACATAAAAAAACACTTAACTGCTAAAAAGTCTTACACCTTTATTCAATATAAAGATATAGATCATTATTAATGTTACAACACCAAATAAAAATGTTTCTTCATCAGTATAGCATATTTTAATTTTGCTTTCCTTTAGTTGTTATCAACATTTGTATCTAATATTTCAATACATCATACACCAAATACTGTGTAAACACATATTAATATCAGCTGTAATCTTAAAAGAACAAAATTCACAAAGTGGTATCAAAGTTTCTGAATTCTTAAAAATATTTTTTCTTACAATATGTAAAGAAGCTTTACAGCCAGGAAATCCTGCACCATTTTTCAAAATAATGTACATAAACATTAAAAATGGTATCAACAACTCTAGAAAATTGAGCAACTTTTAACGTGCTTATTTTTTTTTTGTGATTTAAATTTGACTTTGGTATAGTGCAGCCAATATAAACTTCTCCAAAGAAATTAAGACATAACTTTTAAATACTCTGCTAGACATATAAAATATGTTCTACATAGAGTAGGAATGTATGATATTATTTTTAAAAAACAACTCAAATTACTGACAAATTTTTAAGACTAAATTTTACACACTTTTTTTTTTATACAGTTGATTTTTTCCCCCCTAGTTCTTCACCCTAAGATAATTAACTTGACACCAGATTTACCTAAATATATGTAAAAATATGCATGTTTGAAAATAATAAAACATTTTATCTGTTAGTTTATTATGATATACAAATTTTCATGAGCTCTACTAAGAAGACTTGAATGGAACAATATAAATAATGTAAAAAAAATATACTGGCAGTGCTGTTTACAAACTATGTACTATATCTTTATACGTGAGATGAGCTTCAGGAGGTAAGTCTAATAATTGGCATTCTTTAAGTGCTGAAAGTAGCTGCCTAAAAGGTTCATAAAAAAGAAGGGTCATCTTACTGCCAATAATAATTAGTTTATGTTTAGCACGCGTGATAGCAACATTAAGTCGACGGGCATCATGAAGAATTTCACCACTCTGAAAATAAAACATAAAAGAAGTTTTAGCTGCACATTCAGCATGCAATATTTCTTTCTTTTTACAAGTGAGATATTAATATGTTTCAAAAAATTATAAGTTTCATTACTAATACAATGAAACTCCATAATATAGTTCATTATCTTTAGTTTTAGAATTCAATCAAGGTTTCCCTTTCTACAGAGTAAATTGTATGCAAAAGAGTAATATGTTATTAGTACTACTTTTTAATTTAACAAAAAAATGCTAAAAACAATAGCTGATTTTTAGTACATTATTCACAATTAAAACAGTTAATTATTTCCCACTGTAACTATTAAGGTGATTTAACAGTACAACTGTTTGGTTATAATCAAGTGTTCTTATTCAGAGAAGCTTAAGATAAATTGTAAATTATGGACTTGACAATTTCCTCTTACTAACCAAAAATAAAAATACCATTTTGTTCACTGATATCTATTCATCTCTTCACTAATAACTCAATAGTATCAAGACAATAATAACAGAAAAGAAAAAAAAAAAGCTATCTAACTCAGTAATTTATTGAGGTTACCACTTTTCCTTACAGTTTTCCAGAGTGTTCTGAACATGAGAAAATAAATGCTTCCTTATCCTTGATACTTATTTACATTTTAAAACAATAACAATTGCTCAATTAATTTCTCAATAATTTATTGAGGTCACCACTTTTTCTTACCGAGTTTTCCTGATTGCTCCGAACACACGAGAAGATAACTGCTTCCTTATCTCGTCCTTGATACTGATCTACAGTATTGACTTCCAATTCACATACATTATGTGCTCCAAGAGCTTCTCGTAACAGATGTACTTGCCTTCGGTAAGGTGTGATAACTCCAATGTTCTTTTGTTCTAAACCACCCTTTACACAAAAGAGCCCAACAGAAGATAAAGCAATTATAGTTCAAACAACCAATACGGTTTAACAATGAAATTAATCAAAAGAATCAGCAAATATTACTATGTTTATACACATGAATCACTTCAACAATATTATAGCAACTATCAAACCGAAATTTATGACCTGTTTTCTTACAGAATAACTTAACTCATACAGACAAGTTTTTCCATGTTCTTATGAATTTGTTTTCTGGGTTTCAGTTCTCACTTAACAAATCAATTTTTGAGTCAAATTTCATGTACCTCAACAAACTTTCATCAAAATACAAATTTTAAATCAAGATATTTGGGCACAATTTTAATTTTAAGTATACGTCAAACTTACAGTACATTCTTTTATTTCTGTATTAAAATCTTCTCATCAAATATAGAAGTGTTTTATTCACAATAAGAATAGATTCTGTAAAATAATTCAATATATATCTGAATCCATAAATAGTTTAACGTGAACTTTTATCAACTGATTGCATATAAGCCTATACAATTAAGCCAGTAGATAGCAGTGACTTTGTATCAGTGATCATATGCTAAACCACTGGTAACAGACCAATAGTATTTACTACACGAGACAAAAAATTATTCAAAAGCTCCAAAAACTTTAGCCATAAGAAAACAGAAAATCCAAGTTAGTTTCAAAGCACTGAAAAATAGGTAATTAAACCTTCTTTATTAAGGCTTTATTTTTTTTCGTTATCAGTAAATTAAATTACAGAGTCAAAAATTAGTGACAAAAATGTAAGTTTTGGTTTTGATTTGTGAAATTTTAATAATTTATTTCTTGATGAAATGCTGGTCTCATTAAAAAAAAACAACGAAAATATCTACTTCCTAAAAGTCTGATTACGACATTAATCAACTAAATATTTCAAAACATAATTTAAATATTTTTCTGAATTACTAATTTCAGTTACACTTTCACTGGATTTCCTACAAATAATTGGTAACCTACTTTCAGCAAAGGTGTTATTTAGTTATTTACAAGGTATCATTACAAGTATGTGTGTCACACTATCTGATATTTACTTTCAATAACAGCAGTGCTAGTTGTGTAACAAGTTCCACTTCAACTGGATTTGACACCAATCCCTGAAGATTACACGCCTCTTTAGCCGGTACAAGATCTGTATTCAACACAACCACAGAGTATTTCAGTTCAGCTGCTAGAGCAATCATAGGCCAGGAATCAAGTGAGGGGAAGTGCCGAACAAAGGAGGTGTTGAATAAAGTCAAAGTAGCATTAGCAGTCTCTTCACTTCCACACTCTAGGGCCCCATTATACGTGAGAAGATTGCTCAAGCTCATGATCTCACTAAACAAGTGATTAAAAACAAAAGATTAATAATGAGACTTCACATAAAATAATTGATTGAATACCACTGGTTGCTGTAGCAAAAAGTACTATCTTAATATGCTAAATGTGACAATACAATACATTACAAACAATTTTTTTATGTTAAGCTTTTCATCTTTCATTTACTTCATATTTAATAAAAGTACAAATATAAAAGCTTTAGGCAATAAATAGATAGTATACATACATTTCTATCATTGTGTATGTTATTTAATTGGTTTATTTTACAAATAAAAATATGCATAATTTTGCATCAACCAATGTGTGTGTGTGTGTGTACAAAACGCACCCAAAGTGTGAAATGAAAGAGTTTACATCACAAAAATCTAATACATTCTGTTCCTAGACATGTTAAATCTACCCACCTACTAATTTTATGTAAATTAATTAAAAAATGTGTGATCTTTTGTAACAATACATCTGATTTGTATCAAAGATTTTTTGATATTATTTATCATAATACATATAATCCAACAGCATTCAATCATGGCATACCAATTATAGAGTGCATTTACAAAAATCCTTTGTTCAATAAAATAAACAAAAAATAAAAAATTAGGAATTTGAAACTTTTAAATAGGGATTGTAAAAAACGTAAGGAAGCAAGGTTGGAGATACTGTAGATATTACTTGCTCAGACTACAAATCCCTATTTTGACTCCATCAAATGTAATTCTAGGTAATATCATGGAGCCAAAATAGGGATTTGTAGTTTGAGTAAATAATATCTCCAGTATCTCCAGCCTTGTTTTCTTACATTTTTTACAATCCTTATATGCAGATTTTTAAATTTCCAATTTTTTTATTTATCTTATTTGCTGGCTTTTTTTTATTATTATGAACCACTATCATAATGCATGATATAGGGGTTGGCTCCATAAACACACTGATTGTATAGTGTACAAAGCATTGAGTAATAATGCTTGGAGATGGCTTGGATGGGTAATGAAGAAAAACTTTAATATAAGTTTAACATAACAGCAAATGTACAATGTTTTGTCAAGGCTTTGTTCCTGAGGATGTCGAAACCTTGTCGAAATAGTGATCCTTTCCT